GGAAAAATGTCGAAATGTTTTGGACAAATTTTGCATTATTTTGGACATTCTGACACAAGAAGCTTTTATTAATCCCACAGTGGGGAACTTCATATAGCAAATGAGGACAATTAATTTTATATATATAAACCAGAAAAGCATGTAGGTACGAATTCATGTACCTACATGTAGGTAATGTCCAAATTGCTCTGTATGTGGACATAAAAATATTGCAATTATGAGTGGTATTGCAGGTTTTTGGGCTAATTCAGTCATTTTCAACAAATTTTGCATCATTTCCAACACATTCGGAGTCATTTCAGACTCATTTTGGAAAAGTTTTAGTCATTTAGGATTAACTTGTATAATTTTATTTTGGTATTTTGACCTCAAATGTCCTGTTTTGTCCAGAAGACTTTCAGTTTACGGTCGTGGAGCAAGAAAGAAACCAGAAAACGTTCAGGGGATTTGGGTTTTGTTTGTTGTTACTCAAACCAATTAATCAGTTGGTGAAGAAGCTGATGACAGGTTTAATGTTTGACAACTGATCAGTGACAGTTTCCACGTCGGGCTCGATCACGGGGAACCAGGACGTCTGAAACCACGCTGAGGCTTCAGCAGGAAGCGGATTGTGCTGATGTCTGGAAACAAACTCACCAAGAATCCTGCATGTAATGAAATCATCAGCAGATAAATAAACAGCAGCTGCCTCTGTGCTCAGGGATGCAGTTTAAAACGGCGTTACTTAAAGTCCAGTTCAACCCAGAACCGAGCTCCTGGACCTCAGATAAACCCGCCGTGTCCTGTTAAAGCCCATCACAGCTGTCTGGCTCTGGTACAATACATACACAGCTTATTCAATTATGATAGTACAAATATCATTCAACGGCTAATTAGATTTGGATTAAGTCATTTGAGGAACAAAAACGTTTCTGAGCTGCTGCTTTCTTTGCTGTTGTATAACTGAACACTGGATTCTGGGGTCAAATTATTGATTATTTTCTAAAAAAAAAAAAAAAAAAAAGCAGTTTAACTTCTGCTTCTCATATGTGCTCAGTTGCTTATTTCCTGTCTGTAAATTGAACATATTTGCTTGTAGGTGAGAAGATCCAGCTATTTCAAGGCCTTAGCTGTCATGTTTAACACTGTGTTCTGCTGTTTTAATGGAAGTAACAGCTGCACATGATTAAATCAGGCTGCTCGTGTGACAGCATAAAGAGGAATTAGTGCGAAGACACTGTTGGAAATGAATTTCCCCCGCTCGTAATTCATCCCTTTTATCTCCCTGAACACATTTATGTAGGTTTCCAGCGGGACTATTGTCCTAATAAATCAATAAAGACTGTTTTGTGGTCAGCAACAACAACAAAATAAGCAGATACCTACCTAGCCAATTATGTTTCCTCCAGGCAGAGGTGATGTTCACGCCGGAAAACGTCCAATAAATCCTCACACGGCGGTTTGGAGACTCAGGAGGCGTCGTAGTTCCTCGGTGTTCTCATGGCAGGAAGCGAAGCGAGCGCAGTTTTAGTCAGAAAACAAGTTTAAAAGTGCCAATTAGCCGGATTTACACATTTAGCAAACATGCTAGGAGCTGATTGCTGCAGCGGAAAGCTAACGGCAGTTAGCAGGGCAACGTCCGCTTGTGGATTTCAAAATAAATCTCGCTTTTCTAATCAACACGTTCTTCGTTTTCTTCTCTTTTTTTAAAAAATTTTCACATACAATAAACATACATGTGTGTTACTCGTCTTCTTGTAAAAGATTCTACTACATTTTCATAATTTTTCACTAATAGATATCATGAGAAATCTTCCCTTGTTGATCAATTTGTATTTTTTAATGTCACAAGTTTCCTGAAATAGATGCTTAAATATGCAAATGAAATATTTCAAATCTAAAAATGCCCTGTATTGCATTCATTTTCAGAAGAAACATCTAAACATTAGATTAAACCAACTTTTTAAAAAAACTGTTTCATGTTTTATAACAAATTAAAGTGAAAGATTTTTTTAAAGACAGAGGTTTGAAAATCTTTCTTTCTTTTTTTTTAATCAACCCATGAATTAGAAAATACTGTACACTGTCAGAAAAAAAATCTATATTTTTAAATATATATCTATATAATACATAGTTTAAAAAAAATTAGATAGGTAGATACTTTATTCGTTTCGTGCAAGGTATCTAGTCGCTGACACATGTTTCATACAAGATAGATAAAGGAACCGTGTACAAAGGGGAGGCAGTGCTCGTGCAAATTGTGCCGCTCGAAAGATTAGCAATAATGTGCCTGAGAATATGTGCAAAAATTCTCACAATAAGGTGCAAATTGGTGGTATTTACAATAAAATGGAGTATTATAAAGTACAGAGATGCAACATGAATATAGAACTAATAATAGAGTAAATAGGAGGGGTGTGGTGCCCAGGATTATATATATATGTATGTATATATGGAGTGGTCCACCAACACAGAGGATATCTACAAGAACATCTACTTCCTCAGGAGGCTCAGGTCCTTCAATGACTGTAACCACATGCTCCTGATGTTCTATCAGTCTGTGGTGGTGAGCGCCGCCTTCTTCACTGTGGTGGCATCAAGGCGACGGAGGCCAACAGACTGAACAGACTCATCAGGAGAGCCCAGTCTGTTGTTGGCTGTCTGCTGGTCACCCTGGAGGAGGAGGAGGTGGAGCAGAGGATGCTGACCAATCTGCAGGCCATCATGAACAACACCTCACACCTCCTCCATCAAACTGTGGACAATCTGAGGAGCAGCTTCAGCAGCAGACTGATATAAGCCCGCCGCTCCAAGAAACGTCACAGGAGGTCTTTTCTCCTTCATTATAAGCACATTTACACATTTCTGTATCTGTTGTATATATTCTTGTAAATTTGTTAACTTTCTTCTATATTATATTTTCTATATTTTTATCTTATTTTATCTTACCTTCATTTTATATCCTACCTCAATATCCCGTGTTGCCTTTTTGCTTTGTTTAGCCCCTTTGTTGAACAGTCATGCTGCTGTAACAACAGAATTTCCCCCTGGGATTAATAAAGTCAGTCTAAGTCTAAGCCTATATAAATATATATATATATATATGTGTGTGTGTATGAATGTGTCTTAAGTTAAATTCCATCTGGTCGTTGGTACCTAACTGGTAAAAAGTAAAATATTTATCTATACACTTGTAATTTCTGGTCTAGAACTTGAATCACTGTGTTGCTCTGCAAAATCAGCATTTTATCATTTCCAATCTATTGCACACTTGGTTTTATAATTAAGTCCATATTGTTGTAAAAATGCTGCATTATGAAACAACAAATACTCATTTGCTAAAAAAGAATGGATGGAATTCAATACCATGTTATACACTGCATTTGTATTTCTGCTCAGTATAACATTGTGTGCTGTTGATCTTTTATGTTGTGAACTTATGCTGCATTAATAAACATGAACTCAGCTGCTATGTTTATTGTTTTTATGCTCCGCTCAAGTTGCATTTTCCACTGTGACGCTCGTGAAGTTCTACTGTTGTTTTTTATTTTGTAAGGGGTCACTCGCACAAGCTTCCGGTGCTCTTGGTGTTTTTTCCTCCTTGACTCAGCGCTTCTTCGGCTGCCCGTCAGCTGACTAATCAGCAAAACACACTTCCGCGGTGGTTGTTCAGGGACCGCTGAGGGGAGTCACTGCGTCTCTGTAAAACCGCAAACGGCTCCCAACACTGATGAAGTAAACAAATCCGCAGCAAGATATTATTTTAAAGGATTATTTTGAAATTTATTTTAGACATAAAATTACAGTTAGATCAAATTCAAGCCGTTTCTGGTGCGGCAGACAAAAGCAAACGGAAGCAGAGCGATCGAGAAACACACAAGCTGTCAAACACATTTTCACTTCACTTTTTTTTACATTTCAGCTAAACAACAGTTTTTGAATACTCTTAAAATAATGCAACATACAGACGACATTATTAATACACGTACAAACGTTTGCAGACAAGCTAGCTTTAAATCGATACGCGATCGATTGCTTGAGTCTGGATCAGCAGCGCGAGGAAGACAACACAAGTTAGCTAGTAGCCGCGATTCAGAGGTAAGAAGACAAACTGGACGAACACACCCGCGCTGCGTTAACGACACAACCGGTAGCATTTCGTACAGCACCTACAGACACACGTCCACGGTATGTCGGATTTTACGTAGCACGTTTACCGGAGAACATCACCACGTGGGTTCGGGAGCAACCGGGCTGCTGTGGTTATGTGTGCTCGCTTTGTTGCACAGCGGTTGCCGGGCGGGCGGGGTTTGACGAGTATCGCGTTGATTCAAGCGTCGGAAGCGCGGAACTCCGTCCGTTCGGGCGGTACTGAGCAACACAACGAACGCCTGAAGACTAACATGCTATACGAGGCTAGAAGTTTACTGTAAACTAAATATGTATGTGAATTAGCTTAAATTTAAAAGCGAAAATGCAAACTTTAGAATCTGAAAAACGGCCGTACACGTGTAATAGTAAAATTATAAAACAGGAAGTAAATGTAACGTGAAATATGTGGACCAACAGTATTTAGATCTTAACGAGGTAAATGCACCATTTCCAAGTTATTTTAGAATAAAATTAATACAAAATATAAGACATTGTATTGCTACATCATCCCGCCTTCATGCTCCAGCTGTGTGCCTTTGAATTATTCCCATTTATGAACATTTATTAGGCTATAATTGTATGTAGAGGTGTGCCTTATTAATGCTGGTTTTTGTACATTTTATTTAGATTTGATCAGAGATGCAGATGCTGGTGAGGAGAGAAACTTAATCCATTAAGTCCTGCAACACAATAAAAGCTGATTTAAACAATAATATCCAGAGCAAATCCACTGTCTGAACCTGATAAACATTTTTATTATTACAACAGCTTAAGATAAATGAATGAGTTGTATTTTTCATTAATACTCAGCCACCCGTTGCCATGTTTTGTGAATAACTAAAGTAAGATGAAACTTTAATAAACCCAAAGGAAATTCTTGTGCCAGATATTGCTCTGAAAAGACAAAACAAAACGACACAACATAAGAAATGCAGAGTCTAAAAAGTAGAAAAGCAATAAGATATAAATATGATACGACACTGAAATGTCAGAAGTAAGCTGGAACAGAAGAGTAAAGAGTAATACTGCCAATTGTACTGAGATAATAAGTGATATTGCACCTGAGAAATGAAACAATAAATAAATATTGCACATTGCTTTGACAGTGTTGTATATGAAGGTATTTTTGTAAGGACACATCTAAGCTCTGTGTGCGTATTGTAGATTTTCCTCATTAATTAATCTGCTGATTATTTTCTCAATGAAGTGATTGGTTGTTGGTTTTATAAAAAGTCAGAAAATGGGGGAAAGAAATTGTATGTTTTTTCCACAAAGTCAAAAATATGCAGTTTGCTGTCATAAAGGAGGAAAGAAACCAAAAGATATTCACATTTTAGAAGCAAGAATCTGAGAATTTAGACTATTTTTTTTCTAAGTAGTTGGAAGCTAACTGATTAATTATTGCAGCTCTATTTATAGAGTCAAGAAACACGATTTAAAGTCAGATAAAATCACTCTTCCTGTGTTTTCTTGTGCTGCAGGACTCAGCGCCGTTCTGCCGGTCATGGGTTTGACCAAGCAGTATCTGCGCTACGCCGCCAGCGCCGTGTTCGGCGTCATCGGCAGCCAGAAAGCCAACATCTGCTACGTGACCCTTCGAGGAGGCGAGCGAGGACGCTACGTCGCCGTGGCTGCGTGCGAACACGTCTTCATCTGGGATGTTCGGAAAGGAGAGAAGGTGAGGTGGACAGTCGGGAACACAAGTTGTAAAGACCATGAATATCATTCAGTCTTCAGTTTAAATGATTCCTAGAACTCTGATGTTTCTGTGATGGAATCGTTGAAACTCGTGAATCGTTGTGACAGAAGACAATGAAGCTTTATGGTTCTTTCACAGATTTGTTAAAGGTCATCTGGAAATATCTATATGTACAGAAATGCTCATACTTGGTTAAACATACTTTGTCCATGTTCTCCTCAGTCGGGTTCTTCTGGTTCCGTCCACCAGCTTCTGGTCCATCTCTGACTCCTCTGGACAGAACCGCTGCAGTTCAACTAAACTTGTCGTCTTTCTGACTCAGACTTGTTCCTTCATCAGTCCACAGGTTCTGGATGGTTCCAGTCAGGACTTTGGGGAGACCAGTCTAGAACCTTCATTCCATCCTGATGGAACCATTTCTTCACCACTTTGATGTGTGTTTGGGCTCATTGTCTGGTTGGAACATCCAACTGTGTCCAAGATCAACCTTCTGCTGATGGTTTGAGGTTTTCCTGAACAACGTGGAGGTGATCCTCCTTCTTCATTGGTCCACTGACTTTGTGTAAAGCTCCAGGTCCACTGGCAGCAGAACAGAACCAGAGCATGATGCTGCCACCTCCATGCTTGATGGTAGGTTTGGTGTCTTGGGGTTGAAGGCCTCACCTTCTCTCCTCCAGACATGGTTCTGCTCAGTGTTTGTTCCATCTGACCAGAACTTTCCTCCAGAAGGCCTTTTCTTTGTCCATGTGACCAGCAGCAGACTTCAGTGGAGCTTTAAGGTTCTGCTTCTAGAGGAAGAACTTCCTTCTCCATCAGCCTCTCAGCTCATGTTGATGTCAGACCCTGTGGACAATGACAGCTGTGTTCCAGCAGCTTCTGGTCCATCCAGAGCTGCTTCCTGCTGGTTCCTGGTTGACTCTTGACCATCCTGACCAGTCGTCTCTCAGCAGCAGCTGCTAGTTTGTGTTTCCTTCCTGATGGTGGCAGTAACACAACTGGACCATGAACTTTATGCTGACACACTGATGGTTCTGGATCTGAAGCTGCTCTGAAATGGATCCAAGTGACTTTCTGACTGGTTCAAGTCAATGATTTGCTTTTCCAGATCTTTGCGGCGCTCCTCAGACTTTCCCGCTGTAGCATTTGTCCAATGAGTGCTTTTATATACTAAGTGCATGTAGACTGTTGTTGACGACTGTCGGTGCGGCTGTGACGTCACATCCGGGCCTCCAGGAACGAACCTGATGCAGCAGCTCAATAAATTCCTGCCAGATTTCATCCAGTCTGTGTTTGTTTCTTTCTGTGCAGGTCCTGATCCTGCAGGGACAGAAACACGAGGTGACCTTCCTCTGTCCTTCGCCCGACGGCGTCCACGTTGCCGTCGGTTACGAGGACGGCGCCGTGAGGATCTTCAGCCTGCTGAACGGTGAGACCAGCGTCTCCTTCAACGGCCACAAGTCGGCCGTCAGCGTCATCCGGTACGACGCTCTCGGGGCTCGACTCGTCACCGGCTCCAAGGTGAGGGAAGCAGAGCTCTTTTTTAAAAAGATGTTTTATTTGCAACCTTTGAAACTGTGTGAGGAGACGAGCTGGAGTTACAGATTCACAAACAAAGGTGTTGAAAAGGACAAACTGGGGTCGACATGGTTTTGTTTGGTTTCATAAACGCACGTTTGTTTGTTTTACCTGAGATGGATTTTGAGTTTGTTGCTTGTTTATTCCAGCATGTATTGACGCTCTATTACTGTTTTCTAATCCATGTAACGCTTTCAAAATAAAACCCACAAATCTCTCAATTCCTGATTTTTACTAAAAACATATATATTTAATTAATCATTTTGTGAATTGTGAGGAGTTTCTGATTTTTAAAAAATGAAAAGTAATGTTGTTCTTCATGAATTATATTATTCAGAGGTGTAATATTTTTGTTGTTTGTTTGTTGTAGACACAGTTTATTTGTAATTATTTATGGTCATTTGCGAATTTTAACTTAAAAACACATCATTTTTCACTAATAAACATCACAATAAGTCTTCCCCTGTTGATTGTTCACAGCTTTTCGTGTCACAAGTTTCCTGAAGTGTCTGTTTAAATATGCAGATGAAATGTCATAAATCTAAAAAAAACCAAAAAGTCGCATTACTTTTAGGAAGAGGCATCTAATGCATCAGATGCAGCCGGCTTAAAAAAAATTAATTTCATGTTTTTGACTAATTAAAGTCAAAGGTTTTTACAGAGGGAATGTTCCAATATCTCTTCTCATCACTCCATATAAATAAACCTCACAAACCATCACTGTTGTTCACATCATTTAAAACAAACAAACAAACAAGACAAACTATCTCCTCCTCCAGGACACGGATGTGATCGTGTGGGACGTCATCAACGAGTCTGGACTTTACAGGCTGAAAGGACATAAAGACGTCATCACACAGACTTTATTCCTGAAGGACAAGAACCTGCTGGTCACATGGTAACACACCTCACACACATATATAAATATATAAACCTCGTATCTGATGAAAACAAACAACACATTAATGCATGTCGACAACATGTCACGCTATGTTCTGGACAAAAATCAAAATTATATGTTGTTATTGAAAAATACAGTGATGATAATTATCATACAAGGGCTTTGATAGAATTCAACTTACTGAACAACATCGAAGAGGTTTTATTTGTTCGTGTTTGTTCATGTACAGGAAGTAAAAGTTTTGCAATATTAACACAAAAACATCCCTTAAAAATGGGGGGAAAAAAAGTCATAGGCTGTTTCTAGAAGTGTGTTTGTTCTGCTGCTCTACAGCTCCAAGGACAGTTTTGTGAAGTGGTGGGATCTGGACACTCAGCACTGCTTTAAGACCATCGTTGGACATCGCAGCGAGGTGAGCGGCGTCTCAGTCTGCAGTTTATCATTAAAAAAAACTCTGAGCTGCAGCGTGTGAGTCTCTGCGTTCAGTTCAGTTCATGCACATTAGTCAAAACCAACCAGGAAATTCTCGACAGGTAGACATCATCCTACCAGAGGGTTGATGCTATGGAGCTAGATCTCCATGGTAACTGATGCTATGGAGCTAGATCTCCATGGTAACTGATGCTATGGAGCTAGATCTCCACGGTAACTGATGCTGCAGCACTAGATCTCCACAGTAACTGATGCTGTGGAGCTAACAGGATAAATGAGATGAATCTGGTGTTTTTATTTGTTCTGTGTGTTTGGCAGGTTTGGGGTTTGGTGCTGCTCAACCGGGAGAACCGGCTGCTGACCGGATCAGCAGACAGCGAGCTCCGAGCCTGGGACATCAGCTACCTGGAGGAGGTGAGGACAAACTTTTCTGCTCCTCACACCTGACTGATACCGAGAGGAAAGTCAGCTGGAACACTAACAAACAACGTGGAAAAATAAAAAAAAACTCCACCTGCAAAAACTTTACCAAGAGAATTAGAGAAAAAGAAAAAAAATGTCCCTGTTGTCCTGGATATTTTCCTCATGATTTAGAAAAAGAGAAGATAAACTTTATTGCTCCATCTCTGGGGAAAAGTACATTTAGTAAATAGCGTAAATAGCATTTTCTAATGATGCACAATGACACATAAATGACACAAGTTGCTTTTATTGATGGTGTTGCATCTTTTTTATTACATTACAACCATTTTTACAAGATAAAATAAGCTTTTATTAATGTAATAAGCCTCAAATAATTCCACAGCGGAAAACTTGCCAAATTTACTAGTTGGATATCAGAATAAAACAGTAAAGCAGCTGTTTGGTTGTTTAGGTGAAAGCAGAGGGCGAACCCAAAGAGAAGAAAGGAAAAACTCTGCTGGATGATGACGAAGACCAACAGGAAGACGAGGATGAAAGTCTGGACGAGGTACAGACTTTATTGTGTTTCTGTGGGAAAAAATGTCAGTGATTTTTGTTTTGTTTTTTTGGTCTCGGAGCGATAAGAAAAATGGATTTCTAGTTTCAAAAAACCTGTTAAAATGTGATTTATTTCAAAGCTTCACATTTTCAGCCCAGTGATGTTTTTTAAGGCTGTTGTGATTCCTCAAATATTTCACATTTTCCAACACGAACAAGAGCGAGATCTAACTAACTGATGCTATGGAGCTAGATCTCCATGGTAACTGATGCTGCGGAGCTAGATCTCCATGGTAACTGATGCTGCGCAGCTAGATCTCCGTGGTAACTGATGCTGGGGAGCTAGATCTCCATGGTAACTGATGCTGCGGAGCTAGATCTCCATGGTAACTGATGCTGAAATGTTAGATCTCCATGGTAACGGATGCTACAGAGCTAGATCTTCATGGTAACTGAGGCTGAAATGTTAGATCTCCATGGTTACAGAAGCTGCAGACCTAGATCGCCATGGTAACTGATGCTGAAGTGTTAGATCTCCATGGTTACAGAAGCTGCAGACCTAGATCTCCATGGTAACAGATGCTGAAATGTTAGATCTCCATGGTTACAGAAGCTGCAGACCTAGATCTCCATGGTAACTGATGCTGTGAAGCTAGATCTCCGCAGCATCAGTTGTGATTCCAAAAATATTTCACATTTTCTGATGAGAACAGCTCACTTTCTTGTACTGACATGAATCTTTCAGGCCTTAAACTTTGTTTTTCTTCTGTTTTCCGCTTCCTCAGCGCATCCTGAGCTGTAAGAAGGCCGGCTCGATCCTGAGAGAAGCCAGAGATCGGGTTGTTTCGCTCACGACGGACTCCAAGGCCAGAATCATCGCCTGCCACGTGAGTGTCGAAGCTTCTTCTGGTTCCTCTGGACTGCTCGGGCAGAAACTGTCAGGAGTTAGAAGAAAATCTGTGAATTTAAACAATATTTTAGGTTCTAAATTAAGTAGAAATCAAATTTAATAGAAAATATTTTAACATTCAAAGATGTCGTGGATGTTTTTGTTCATAGGAATGACTTAAAATCATTTTCAGCATCAGACTGATGAGTGGAATCTTTAAGAATAATAATACCAATAAAATCTTAATAATATTCGTCTCTGCTCTTTTTTTTTCTGCCGTTAGCCATAGTTGTAGTTTTTTTCCAGCACTTCCAGGCTTTAATCTGTCACTGTTTGTTTGGTTTAACACATTCTTTAAGTATCAAAGGCAGTTTTGTTGTTGTTCACTTAATTTAATGTGGTTTCTGCTGGTTTTAGAGTCTCCTTCAAGCGTCAGACCGCAAAGGAAATAAAAATCAACTGTGAACGGACCAAAGTGCAGCTTTATTTCTGATTTGCTTTTTTCTATTTGTGCTGATTCTGTGAGGATTTTGCTTCTTTTAATGGGATTATTTGTGAGTCTTTGTGATAACTTTGCCTCTTTTCGTGCTGGTTTAGTTCCTTTTTGTGGTGATTTTACACCATTTGGTTCAGTTAACTTGCAGAAGCAGCTTGTTAATATCTGGTTTAGTTTTATGGAGCTGTCCTGATGTTTTATGGTCCTAAAGCTGTTCTCAATGACAGATTTCAACTTTGCTCTTTGGTAGTTTTGTGTTTATCGCAGCTCATTACCTCCAAATGCATCACTGGTATTGATTTTATCAGCAGGCAGTGAACGCTTTCCGTTTCTCTCTCGCCTCCATCAGGGCAACGACTCAATCCTGGAGCTCTTCACCGTTCTGTCAGAGGACGAAGTGCAGAAGAAAATGAGCAAGAAGCTGAAGAAAGCCAAGAAGAAGGCGGCAAAGTAAGCGCAGAAAACACACTTGTCCCTTCTTAATGCCTCTCTGTGTCCCTGTTATCGCTGCTACGACTAATGCAACTGACTTTTGAGGCAGCGATTCGAGTCTGACGCTTGTTTCCTTCGTGAAGACTTCAGGAGGAAGCAGGCGAGGAGGCAGCAGAGCCGGCGGTGGAGAAGATGCTGAAGGACGAGATCGTCAGACTGATAAACGTCAAGGCTTCTGCCAAGATCAGGTCAGCGTGGAGACGAACGTTCACGGAAACTTGGAGACGCTGGACCGACACAAACTCACAGTCGTTCATCCAAGTTAAACCTATGAGCTAACGGCTTTATTACAAACATCAGAAGCAGCTAAACACACACCAGTCAGCCCAGATCTCATTTCACTCCAACAGCCTCCAGTCCTTTCATGACTCCTTATTTTATTATTAATATTATTAGTAGTCGTAGTGGTGTTTCCTCTTTTATTATTATCATTCATTTATTTATTCATTTTTGCAGATTTTATACAAACACTTGTCAGTTTCTAAAGTAACTGCCTGAAAATGTTGACGTGAACCAAGAAAACTGCGACCAACTCATAAGACTTCAATGAAAAGAGTGAGGAGAAAAAAAGAGTTTTACAAAAAGAAGGGTGGGATTTAACAAAAGCTAATAATAATAATGATAATAATAAAGAATTTACTAGTAATACTAGTAATAATAATTGTAAAAATTAGTTTTAAAAAAAGAAAATAGAAAAAAAGGGGATGAAAGTATTTAAAAAGGTTTACTTAAAAATAGAGAAAGTAAGAAAGAAAGAACATTTTACAAAATAATATCTACAAATTAATGAAATATAAAAAGGAAAAAAAATTGTAATTATAAATGTGCGTGTACACATAAACTCATGTGAACATCCTCACACATGCACCAGAATCATTTTTCAGGAGTCGAGTGAAACAAGTCGCCGTTAACCTCGTTATCGTCGTTAACCTCGTTATCGCCGTTAACCTCGTTATCGTCGTTATCGCCGTTAACCTCGTTATCGTCGTTAACCTCGTTATCGTCGTTATCGTTGTTAACCTCGTTGTTGTCATCAACCTTGTTATTGTCGTTGTCCTTGTTAACCTCGTCATCGTCGTTAACCTCCTCATCGTCTCCTCTCCCCCCTTCAGGTGCGTCGACTGTCTGTCCTGCGCCGGCGGCGAGCTGAAGGTGGCGCTGCTGCTGCAGAACAACACGGTGGAGACCTACAGCCTCAGGACGGCCGACAAAACCCCGACCGCCAACAAGACATCCCGGCTGACGCTGGGCGGCCACCGCACCGACGTCCGCACGCTGGCCTTCAGCTCGGACAACCTGGCCGTCCTGTCGGCCTCCGGGGACACCGTCAAAGTCTGGAACAGGTGAGCTTAGCGCTTAGCGGCTAGCGCATTCAAAACAGAGGCTGCAAATTCAGCTCGCAAGTTTAAATCAAGCAGGTAAGACCAACAACATAATTAGTTTACACATTTGTCTGACTGACTTGAATCCTCTCACAGGTCGACCCTGCAGGTGATTCGAACCATGGCCTGTGAGTACGCCCTGTGCTCGCTGTTCGTGCCCGGAGACAGACAGATCATCCTGGGAACAAAGGTACGCAGACACCTGGATGTACTTATTATATCTGTATACTTAGATGTCAGTGAGAATTCAACCCTCCGAGCTCCAGAAGGCGTGTTGTCTTTAAAATATGACTTGAACAATTTATCAGAACCAGAAGTTGTGAGATTTTCAACTTTCCTAGAATAAATTCATCCAAATCGAGGCTTAAAATCGAGACATTTCATCAGAACCACGTCATTCTGCGGGCCTCATTTACAAATTTGTCCAAAATAAACTGTTTCTATTTTTTAAAACAAGAAACTGTGAAGTTTTTTTTCTAGTTTTGAGTGTAAAATTAGCAAATAACCCATAGCTGGAGCCTCTGTGACGTATTAGATGTCTTATTTCAAAATAAAGGGCTCAGTCAGATTTATTCTACTTTATTCCACAGGCATCATGTTAAAAAAAAAAATCAAAAATAAACTGTTTGAGCTGACAAGATTCTGTTAATAATAAAATATTTTGCACTCCTTTGTGCAGCCATGAAGTCATCAGTGGCTCAACTGAGACAAACAGTCAAATAACCAAAAATCAGAGACTCTGACAGCACTACAGACATTTTTAAGTTCTCTACTTCCAATCAAATGACTTGATTTCCTTTACGAGCGTCATATTTTAACCCCCTGCAGCCCAAAACCCACTAGAAGGATATGTTATCTTTCAAAATAAACACCCAAATTGCACCATTTTAGAAACAGAAACTGTAAATTATATACAGAATAGCCGGAGATTTTACTTTCTTATCTTTCTAAAACTACTCATCTGTGTTGTTCCATCTGGAGAATGCGACCAAATCTAAGCTCAAACTTGTGATATTTCAAATAGCCAAAAATAAACCGTCGGCTGTAGCTGGATTCTGTAAAAAACAACAAATTCTGTCCTTGTCAGCGCAGCAGTGAAGCCACCAGTGACTCAGCGGTGATCAACAGTCACATGGCAAAAAATCAGGAACTTCAAAAACTGCGAAAATAGAAAGTGTCGTCAGATTTCCAGTTTTTTGCCGTTCCTCAAACGTTTCATCAAAAACAAATGAATGTGAACAGCACAATATCTACAGAATGTGTTCCCGGTAACACTTTTGGGTACTTGGAGAAACGTTGTACATCTTTTCTTTATCTGTTTTTGTAAAATAAATCATCAAAAAATGCAACTTTTGCACATTTCAGAGTCGTTCTGTTCCCATAGAGGTCTTGACATTGCAGTGAAAGGGAGGCGAGGACAGTTCTGTTGGCCAGGATGTAGATTTTTACACCTTTTCACCGTATCTTTGTCGTCACTGAGTCATTTTTCTTTTTTCTCTTCAGAGCGGGAAGCTTCAGATGTTCGAGCTGGCCTCAGGAAGCCTCTTAGAGACTGTGGATGCTCATAACGGAGCGCTGTGGTCGCTGTGCCTCGCCCCGGACCAGGTGAACCTGTCTGCACTCACGCCGGTCTCACGTACATGGATCAAATCCCCCAAAACTTTGATTTAATTTGTGGCGTGTGTGCATCCTGCAGAGGGGCATCGTGTCGGGAAGCGCAGATAAAACCGTCAAGTTCTGGGAGTTTGAGCTGATAAAGGACCAAGAGACGGGACAGAAGTAAGTCATCGCCTTGTTCCAGGTTTCACATTACTGATAGATGTGAAGGTGTTAATGGAGGAAAACAGAAAAGTCACGTCGTTTAATGCAAACCTCCAGATTATTTCTCACTGATGCAGTTTTTACAGACACGAGTCGGTAACTGCAGCTGCTTGAATCTGCTGCTACGACTCTCAAATGCTGTTTTTGTGCTCACAAATATTCTTTAGGAGCTTCAAACTTGTAGATTTTTGATTGTGTTTGCAGACTTTCTCACCTTCTTCATTGCTGATGGACGAATCCGATTATACGATGAAACACATTCACACACTCTGCTGTGCATCAAGTAATCTAATGCAAACCTGCAGATTATTTCTCAATGATACAGTTTGTTTTGGGTATGTGTCAAGCTAAAGCACGAGTCAGCTGCGTGAATCTGCTGCCACGACAGTAATACGGTGCAAAACACATTCACACACCAGTTTACTCTTTGACTTTTTTTTGATACGTCTGTAAATCATGCGTGAGTTCATGCAGTGAGAGTTGCACATCTGCAGATTATTGTCTCACTAATACAGTTTTTTTCTTGAATATATCTGAAGCAAAAACATCAGAGTCAGCTGCTTAAACCCCCAAATAATGTTTTTTTTTGCTCACAAATATTCTTTAGGAGCTTCAAACGTGTAGATTTTGATGGTGTTTGCAGACTTTCTCACCTTCTTCCTGGCAGGTGGATGAATCCTATTATAAAAACGTTTTTCTACAGTAATTTGGTGCAAAACACATCCGCACATCTGTGTCAAAGGGGAAGATCTGCACATCTGTGCATCATTCATGCAGTGAGAGTGTAGATTACTGTCTCACTAATACAGGTTTTTTTCTTGTATATATCTGAAGCAGTAACACAGTCAGTAACTTCAGCTGCTTTTATCTGCAGCTACGACTCTGAAAAACTCTTTTTTCCCCAAGAAAATATTCTTTAGGAGCTTCAGACTTGTAGATTTTGCAAATGGGCAAATCCTAACTGATGAATCACAAGTTTAAAAAGTGACACGCTCACATTTTTCTGCAGCTGCTGCAGTAAATAAAGTGGAAAAACTCTTTCACACATCTGTCAAGGAGAAAATTCACATCGATTCATGCCGTGAAAGTTGCACACCTGCAGACTATTCTCTCGCTAATACAGTTTTTATTTTCTTGGATATATCGGAAGCTGTTTCACGTCTGCTGCTACGACTCCTAAATGCTGTTTTGCACCACAAATCTCCTCATATCACCACATATTTGGGTTTTACTCCAGTGATGCCTCCTGGAATCAACAGTCAACTGCAGCAGGGATCCTCCCAGATGTTGTCTGTTGCAATAAAAAACAGATTTTCTCGCTGCACCTTCTGCATCGTTGACGACAAAGTTGGTTTAGTTCAGCTTTTACAAACAAGCAGCTCCTCTGAAGATCATGCACACGTGTCGTTATAGATGACTTCTGCTGTATTTGTTCCTTTTACTCATATATTGTCTGTGATAAATGCCATTTTGTGAGTACGTGCATATTGCTCATTTAAAGCAAACACAATGAGCAGACACGTCTCTGTGTGTGAACCAGGAGGCTGACGCTGAAGCACACTCGCACCCTGCAGCTGGAGGAAGACGTCCTCTGTGTGAGGTTTTCTCCCGACCACCGGCTGCTGGCCGTTTCCCTGCTAGACTGCACCGTCAAGGTGTTCTACACGGACACGCTGAAGGTTCGTCCTGCACGCGTGCAAACAGCCGACATGTCTGACGTATCGAACGCTTCGCCGTCTGAACTCTCTGTCTTTGGCTCTCTTTCAGTTCTTCTTGTCTTTATACGGACACAAGCTGCCGGTGCTGTGTCTGGACATCTCACATGTGAGTACAAGATGCAAACGGATGAACTGTCATCTGCTGTAGGCCTCAATAATAACCTGCTGTATTGTGCAAGATGCTGACGGTCAACAACTGCGAAAATGTGTGTGTTTGACTCGTGTTTAGGGAGTTTGTCAGAGGATGTTCGTGCATCGAACGGGTTGATTTAATTCTTGAGGGTCGTATTTTATCCCTATTTTAAACCTGCCGGTGGGTTTGAAAGGCTCGTTATCGAAACATCCATCCATCCATCATCTCTACACCTTAATCCTCACCAGGGTCATGGGGGGCTGGAGTCTATCCCAGCTGACTCAGGGTGAAGGCACCTGGACAGGTAACCAGTCTATCACAGGGCTACACTTAGAGACAGACAACCAAGCACACTCACATTCACACCTACGGACAATTTAGAATCACCAATTAACCTCAGCATGTTTCTGGACTGTGGGAGGAAGCTGGAGAACCCGGAGAGACCCCACGCTGCTCGGGGAGAACATGGAGACTCCATGCAGGAAGATTCCGGTGCCCCCACTGGGACGCAAACCGGCGACCTTCTAGCTGCGAGGCGTTATCGAAACAGAAAGTGTAAAAATAGACAGAATTGCCAGTAGATTGTAGTAGTTTGTAGTTTGGACTGGACATATATCTTTTGCGGCTCCAGTCCTGAAGCCTTTCCAACACACCTCGTGCATCTAGCGGTGCTTCTTGCGTCAGATGAGACGAAGCCGGTCCACGTCTGACTCGTGTTCGGTCGCCTCAGCCTCCCTCCCGGACTCTGACCTCGTCTTTCTGTTTCACCAGGACAACACACTTATAGCGACGGGCTCCGCCGACAGAAACGTGAAGATCTGGGGTTTGGACTTTGGCGACTGTCACCGCTCCATGTTTGCTCATGACGACAGGTAACGCCCAAACCAAACAGCACTTCTTCTTTTTATCAAATATGTGATGAGAAAGGGGTTTTCAGGACTGTTTGGTTTCCAGCTCTGACTTCATCCGATGTGGTGGAAGAATCTGTGTCCAGTTAACGCCGACGCTGACTTCACACCAGCTGCTCTTTCATCTGTTTTCTCACGAATCATCGTTGTTTTTCTCTCCCGTGACTTAAATTTCTTTTTTAATTAACTTTTATCTCGTCTGTTTTATTTCGCTCTCGGCTCGTTTCATCTCATCTTTATCGCTGTTTTTTTTTTTCTTTCCTCTCCCTCGTTTGATCCAGTTTCTCTTCACAATCTTCTCCAATTCTGTCTGTTCTCTGTTCTCCACAGCGTCATGTTCCTCCAGTTTGTCCCCAAGACTCATCTGTTCTTCACAGCGGGGAAAGATAAGAAGATCAAGCAGTGGGACGCCGACAAGTTTGAGCACATCCAGACACTAGAGGTGACGACCTGCTCCAAGCTCTTGATGTTTGGAGTCAGACGACTTTGCCCGTGCTGACACAAAACACTGACCACACCTCGTTCACAGCCAGACGCACCGTATCGTGACAGATACTTGAACAGTCATGCATTTAGTTTTTTTGTACATTTATTAAAGGTCTTCTGGAAATATGACAACATCAGCTGGGTCAGAAACACACACACAGCAACTTGAAATATCAGTTTCGGTGATGCAGAACGTTGCGTTAATCAAGTTTTCTTAGTGATGTGACCTTTTAACTGGACTACAGCTGCTTAATCCTCTGAGCCAGTTTAACCAGGATCCACTCATTAGACTCAGCCAAGATAACCAAAGCTTTGTTCCGTTCCTCTGCTTCTCGTCGCAGGGCCACCACCGGGAGGTCTGGTGTCTCGCCATCAGCCCCAACGGCGACCACCTGGTGTCGTCGTCTCACGACAAATCTCTGCGACTGTGGGAGAGGACCAGAGAGCCCATCATCCTGGAGGAGGAGCGGGAGATGGTGAGGAGGAGGAGGAGGAGGAGGAGGAGGAGGAGGGCTTTAACGAACACTCAGACGGCTTCTTGGTGCCTCTGCAGCCCGTCAGACCTGTGTTTCTCCGTTCTGTTAACCTGACGGCAATGCAACATGTCGGCAGTCTGACGTGATCCAACGTAGTAACGTTTCTATATCACTCTGAACAGAACTCAAGTCTGAAGTCACCACTTTAACAGATAGAGAAGCAGCAGCAGCAGTACGGTCTTGACTCGATAATCCGACCCTTAACAATCCTAAACCTGCTATCCGACAGATTTTTAGGAAAAACCAACAGAACCCATAAAAACAGCCTTAACATAGCGACAGCCTTGGATTGTGACTCCGACATGACATTTAATGTCACCAATCAGGATGACGGCGTATTATCTGACTGAACAATCCCACAGATTGGCTACGTTCACACTGCAGGACTTGATGCTCAATGAGGATTTCTTTGTGACTTCCTTCACGTTTCCACTTCAATGCGACTTGTATGTGATCTGCTGTGTGAACTTCATACGAGCCAAAAGTGTCCCGCATGCGCAGAAGAGGACACGACGACGTCACACGCAGCGAGCGTGCTCAGTGTTTATGGAAGTAAACATGGATGGTAACGGTGGAGCGTATCTGCCACTCCCCCGCCGCCACCGATGGAGGAAACAGAAGTGTGAGCGCTAACTAAACTAGCATCAGCAGCTAAGTACTGCCTGTGTGTTCTGGACACTTCCACCCCGTCAGAGCGCTGCCCCGGGATGGAAGTGTCCCCCGACCACACCGAATATTCGGATATTTTTCATTAATTGGGCCTGAATATCCAGAGAGCAGAAAGTTCTATTGGGACCAGCCCTACTAGTTATTATTACAACTATAACAATAAATATTAAGAACAAATGATCCTTCCAGCATCAAGCCCTCCTCGTATCTGGACCTCTGTCTTGACAATCCGACATAGAAGAAGGTTTTACATTTAGTGTCGGATTATCGAGTCACGACTGTACTTCAATTCGTGTGAAGTGATTTAACCTTACGTACTTTTGGGGGTAAATTTGACCCGTTTTGACATTTGACAGCAGTAAAAACACCCTAAATGTCTTTTAGTCTGAAATGTTATGTTTTTAAGTTTTATACTTGTGTCCAGATGCTGCAAATGTTTGTCCACTGAGGCTGTTTGGGGTCAAGTGTGAGCCGTTTATCCACTGAGAGGGATTTTAGATCTACCAGTGTGGGTCCAATCAAGGAACACGGTGGTTTTAGCTGTACAGGATATGTTTTATGTGCAGTTTTTATTATATTTATTAATGTGACATCGTCTGTTTAGACATCGTAATTGCTAAATTCGGTATAGACACTTACTGTGAGGGAATTCTTGATGGCAAGGCATAAGATATGAGCAGTATTTGAAGGTTAAGGAACGACTTTTCCACATTTCATCGTTAATATTTGTCTGAAAACAGCACAGAGATGCTCAGTATGCAGTTTGTGTGTAATTGTGCAGTAAAAAAAAAAAGCACTTTTCTCTACAATTTCAACTCTTTTAGCCAATAAAATGAAATATTCTTTATATTTAGCCTGTATCTGAGATGAAAACAGACACAAGCAGCTTAGAGATTAAAGCTGCTCACCTGTAATGATGTATTCTGAGTTTTAACGTGAGCTAAGGTTTGTCCAGCTGTTCAGGACTGTTTCCTCTGAGGTTGTTTGATACCTGCAGCGGGATGCATGAACAACAGTAACTTCATTAATTAGGTTTGATTAAAGCAGATCAGGATGTAACAGCAGCTCACACGTGATCAGCTGCACTTTAAGTGTTCTTTATGTCCTGAGTTTTTACTGCTAAAGAAACCATAAATAAACTGAGGTTTTAGTTATTCGGACACTTTAATCAGCTGCTATCGGCTTCGTTTTAGTCGTTATTTTGTTTCATACGTCACTCGTTTGTTGACTTGAATGACTCGTATCCATTTCTGTGTGTATATATATATATATGTCTGCTTTTGTCTTCACAGGAACGAGAAGCAGAGTTTGAGGAGAGCATGGCCAAAGGAGACATGCCCGTGGTGAGTGCTCACTTTTTAATGTTCGGTTTTCAGACGTTTCCTGAACTTTGACAACAAAAAAAAACTACAAATGTGTGCATTTTGGTGCTCCGATCCTGTAACTGTGTCACCTTTTAGACATCCTGATGCTGTTTTTGTTACTTTAGCTGCGTTTAAAAAGAGATTAAAATCAAATCCGTGTTCTGATGTTGTGCTAGATGTGTGAATTGAGTTTTTTTTTTTCTTTCTCTGCAGGTTCCTGGAGAGACTCAGGGAGAAGCAGCACCGGCCGGGAAGAAAACCATCGAGACGGTCAAAGCTGTGAGTTTACTTCACCTCCTCAGAAACCCAAGACTCAGTTATTTACTCCCAGAAAGCCTCCTGTTGGGCTCTGAGGCACAGAAAACAGAGACCATGTGCCTTTTACTCCCTAATTTTCTATTGTTTTTCTCAAGATTTGCTCTTTTTCTAATGTCTTGTTGTTACTGTGCAGCCTTGAGATCAGCCACTTTGCATTTGACT